CTGCAGGGAACCAGTCACCTCTGTCTTGGAGAAACTACTCTGGTGCTGCGAGGGGGATAAGTTGGAAGGAATGAGGAAGAGGAGACCCATCATGAGTCCCTCATCCCTAGGGTGGCCCACAGCAGCCAGAGGAATCTTCCTTAAATAGAAATCTGATCCCAATACTCTCCTGCTTTAAACCCCTCCAAAAAAATACACTGAGACCCCCATGAACTCATGCCCACCTCCCCTCATCTCCCAAATCTCTCCCCCTCATCAGTGTGTCCAGCCCACCTACTTTCCTGCCTATCCCTCCAACTCCCTCAATACCTGTCCACATATTAGACCCGCTGCCCCTACTCCCTTGACCACCCAACCTCCAGGTCTCAGGTGGGGCTCCTTCCTCAGGAGGATCTCCTCGATCAACCTCTATCACAGTTAGGTCTCTCAAGTCTTATCATCTCTCACGCCACAGCTCTGTATTGTTTCCTTAATAGCCCATTTTCAGCTTGTGTCTCTGTGCATCTGTTTGTATGATGGCTTGTTTGAAGTCTCTCTTCCCCACTGGACTGGAAGCTCCATGAAAGCAGTGGCTAGGCCTGGCTTCTTATGGCTGGATATGCATAGCCTGGCACAGTGCCTGGCACATAGAAGTGCCCAAAAAGATGTGTTGGGTGAGTGAGTGAGTAGATACCTTCCACGGTGATAAATAAAATCATAGCTATAATGATGGGTGGCTAGGGAAGAAGCCCAGGGGAGCTGCCATCTGAGCTGGGCTTAGGAAGATGAGTACTGGCTTAACAGACAGGCAAGGGGTGACAAGGACATTCCGGGCACAAGGAATGGCATGTGCAAGGAGGAGGGAGCATGAACCACCCTGGAAACTGTGGAAAACTCTAAGGCAGGGTTTCTTAACCTTGGCACTGTTGACATTTGGGGCAGGATAATTCTTTCAGTTTTGGAGGAGGGGTACGTTCTATGCACTGTAGGATACTTAGCAGCATTCCTGGCCTCTACTCACTAGATGTCAATAGTGTTCCCCCCTGCTACAGTTTTCACTACCAAAAATGTCTCCAGACATTGTCAAATGTCCCCTTGGGGGGAAAAATCACCCTCCACTGCTCTTGATATGTCTGACATGTTGGTGTTCAAGGTACAAAGTGGGAATGGTGGGAATGGAAGCCAGTGGGGCAGATAAGGATTTGCCAAGGTAAAGATTTGAGACTGTAGCCTGTAAATACGATTGAAAAGGGTTTCCATGGGAGAAGCACCTGGTCCCAACTCTGGGAGGCTCCCTCAGGTGCAGTGTGGAGGATTCGATTAGAGTGCTAGACAAGATGGGAAGCTAGCCCATCTCCTCTCCTAAGGCAGGCATGAATCCCTCCAGTACTGGGCAGGGAAGAAGCATTTGGGGCTGGGATGTTCTCTCTGGAGGATCACACCCAGCCCCCATCAGCTGGTCCAGGGAACCCAGCATGGCCATGGATGAGGGATGTTGAGTTTGAGGAAGCACTCTTGGAAGTGGGAGACTTCTTGTTATTGAGGACAGCACAGTGCAGAGGGAAATATTGGGGTTTCAGGTGCACTGGGATTCCAACCCCAGCTCTCCCACTCCATCTGTGAGGCTTGGGCAAGCCACTCTATTGATGTGAGCTTTAATTTCCCCATCAGTGAAATGGGTGCACTAAAATCCCCCTCACAGGGCCATTGGGAAGATTAACTGAAACAACAGATATGAATGCCTTTGTGGCCCATTCCCAGCCCAGTACAAGTGCTTCAGACCTGCTCATTTCTCCATTTGGCCTCTGAAAGCTTTTCCCCCTGAAACTCATAGACTCCATACTATAGTGCATTTAGTGAACAAATCTAAAGATGATTATCATATCACACACCAAGCACACTCTGTATTTTACATTTTCAAAAAAGATATGATTTAACATTGATGTCAAATATACTTCTTTGTGATGAATATTTTGGCTTCAAACACTCACCATCTGACTGGAACCTAACCAAAGAGCTGATACCTGTGTCAGGACTCACCTCACCTTCCCTACAGTCCTGTGCCCTGAGTCCCAATATCATTATCCCCACTTTACAATGAGGAAGCTGAGGCAGTCTAGGAAATTTGTTTCAAGTCATTAGCCAAGGTAAATAAAACAGTAAAAGATAGGGCAGAGATGTGAACCCTCCTAGAGAGGTAGCTTCAGAGTCTGTGCTGCTAAATAAGCATTTGGAGGACCCATTTGGCTTCTCAAGTGGAATTCACGTCTAACACATCTGTTCTGATGTCGGGAAAACTTGTTTACTCTTGTAAATATTATAATATCAAAATTCTAGCACAGAAAACCACTACTAGAGTTTCCGACTCAGAGAAGAGTAGACAGAGGCCTGAGTGAGGAGAAACAAGTTACACAAATCACACTGTGGGTTGCAACTGAGTTTGAGCTAAAGCCCAAGTCTGTGGACTCCCAGGCCAGCTGGCTCCTTGTTCCCGCTGAAGTGAAGTTTCTGGAACAACACTGCCTAGGTTCTGGGTTCTCTAGACATCGCCAGGATGCTTGCTAACTATGTGCTTTGGGAAGTTACTTTATCATTCCGTGCCTGAGTTTTGTCATCATCAAAAATTGGATTAAAATAGCAATTCCTTTATTGGGTCCTATTAACTATTCACAGGTAAAAGAAAAGTGTGTTTGTGTGTGTGTGTGTGTGTGTGTGCGTGCACATGCACTGCATGTACATATGATTTAGAACAGAATCTAGTATTTAGGAAGCACTTGAAAATGATCATTATTATTCTTTTATAGTTACTTTTGTGCCAGGAACTTTACATATGAGGCTGTATCTAACTTTGTTCTGACCATTGTGAGTAAGGGTGATCCTCCCCCCTTCACAAAGGAGGAAATGGTGGTGCCTGGTAGGAAGACTTGGTCATGAACATCAGAAAGAGCCTGTAATGTGCCCCTGTGAGGATGTGTCCCAGTAGGGATTTGCATCTTTCAGGATGCATTGCTTTCCCTTTCCATGCGTGCAGGTCGCCAGTGTATTTGTCCTTCAGGCTTTGGGACAGTCTTTTGGTTCATCTGGCCTGGGCACTCAATGGTTATTGTGCCTTTTCCTTTCTAAAGAAGAGAAGGAAGCCCTTGAAGGCAAAAGGGTGGGATGGGGAGAGTAAGGGGAAACAGAGGCCACGGTATGTCTGGATGACTTGCGATGTGTCTAGGGATGGGGGGAGGGATGATCTCACCACAATCCCTTTTCCTTGTGCACCTTTTAGGGACATGCAGATCTTCCCAGTTGTAGCTGTTGGCAGAAGGGTAAACAATGTTCCTGAAACCTCACAAAACCTCAAGAAAATATCCCCTTGCTCCTCTCCAATTTCCATTATATCTGGGTTCAAATTCCAGCATTGCCATGTACTCCTTCTCTAAGCTTGGATAACTAACCAAATGTCTCTGATCCTTCACCTTTTCACCTATAAATTTGAGTGCATAATCCCTGACTCCCATGGGGAAATGTGCATCTAACGCAGCGGTTCTCAACTTTGGCTGCATGCATGAGTCACCTGGGGAGATTTAATTAATACTGATGCCTGGGTCTCGCCCCCAGAGGTTCTGACATAATTGTTCTGGGGTGTAGCCTTGATATCAGGATTTTCAAAGGCTCCCCTAGGTGATTCTAATATGCAGCCAAAAACTGAGAGCCTCTGTTATCCATGTAGCAGATACCTAATTAATACTGTTCTTTTACATTTCTTTAGTGTTAAGTGCCTGTTCACATTTTATTTTTAAAAGCCTTATCAGTCTCACAGGATGGCTCAAGGATTCTTTATTTCTGCCACCCCCATGCACATTCTCATATTGACAACCTCTGCACTTTCAAAACAGATGACTCAACCCCCAGCCAATCAGCCAGGCCCTTTATCTAGCTTTGGCTCCTCTTCTGTTCATTGGCTAGAGCCAATTGGTTAAGACACACAATGCCCTCCTGGAGATGCCAATGAGAAAATCAAACAGATGGAATGATCCATTGTTTGCTCTTCAGCCAGGGAACTCCATCATTTACCTCCAAATCTATCTCTTACAGTGTGCAAAAGCTCATATTCTAAAACCCCAAGTTCTCTCAACTGGATCTTAAACAATAATGTTTCTCCCAGCTCTGCCCATTGGGTAACTTTTGTATCATTGCCCACCTTTGCGTAAATGCCCACCTCCATTCTTCATGGACTACTCCCATGTCAGGAGATGTGCCATCAGCCAGTCATTCATTTCCAGCCACGCCTCCCCAAAGACACTCTACTCTAGTCATGCTATTTCTCAAAAGCTCTCCATGCTTTGCATATGTCTTAAATGTCTTTTCCTCCTATGGTCTATCTGGAAGGTTTTCACTCACCTTTGCAAGCCAAATTCACATGTTCTCCTCTGCAGTTTACCCTAATCTGTTCTTCCAGTCCCTTCCCACCCCAAGAGAATTTAATTGTTTCCACCCCTGTGCTTTCATAACCTGTGAAATTCTCAGGTATAACATTTACCCTGATGCATTACATTAAGCATTACACTAGATAGGGATTTTGTAATTTGTCTTTTCATAACCAACTTGTAGCACAGGGATAGGGCCTTAGCAGGTGCAAACTAAATGCTTATTGGACTGCATCCAATATCTCTGTCCTCAAATCTATACCAGTGAATTTTTGAAACACCTCCCCCCAATAATCAAGACAATTTTCTCCATCACCATCCACAAGCTTATTAGTATTCATCTGCTATGATAAAACTTTAAAAAAGAAAGATTTTCTTGCCCATGTATGTATATGTGAACAAAAAATGAGTAAACACTTACCATAAACCTGAAATAACACAAGAGATGTCATTCATGTCTCTGGAAGGAATGACCACATTTTACAAGAAAGGGGACATATTTGGCAGAGGGAATGAAAGGGTTTGGAGAGGTGGAATTTTTACTGCTTTATTTCCTGAGATGGGGGGAGCATGAGGGACTGATGGGGAGAAGAGCAACTGCTTTACCTTTTCCGGAGCAGGCAGCTGTAAGTGGTTAACCTCCAAGGGAGTGATGAGAGGGACGGTCTGGAAGCCATCCTCAACCGAAGGCGGCTTGGTTCCCTTCTCACTGGGGTTACTGTTCAGCTTCACCATCCTTATGCCTTTCTTCCCAGACCTAAGGCAAGCAGTGGGGTTCTGGTTACAGTGGGAGGTGAAGCAGGGTAAGAGAGGGCTGACGACAGAGAAAACAGCAGTGTCCTCAACGGGTCCACTCGGATTTCAGTGTAGAAATCAGTCATCTATATATCTTCTGCTAGATTTCATGACATGATTCTCATTATCCAGCAAAACTTCTTTAATCATCAAAATATGCCACCTGCCTATGGAGTTCAACAGCCCTCAAATTCAGGAAAACTCAAGGAAATCCCAGACTTACACAAACAATACACAAGCTTTAAAAAAAATCCAAGATACTAGAGCTAATACAGTCATATAATTTCAGTGAAAAGCTTATTTTTACCGCAAAATTAAATCCTATTATTCTGGGTCACCCTGCAGTATGATAAATTTCACCTTACCACCACACATTACCACCTTGCTATTTTATGATGTTGGTTTTTCTTCAGCAATCTCCTTAAACCACAATAAATACATTCAGTGTCTCTATGTGTACCATACCCTTTCACATGATATGTAGATTGTACAAGAGATACAATTTCCTAAAACAAAAAAAAGGCTGGCTTGAACCTGATCCTGTTATTCAACCATGGAATGCCTCCATTTCCTCAATAGCGAAGGGCCATTTTTTTTTTTTTTTGCTTCCATGGAAAGTTAGCAACCCCCGTATTGCAAGATTGCCAACTAAATAAACAAATCACATTTATTTCTCTCAAGCTCCCTTGGAAGTCAAACGATGCTCCCACCCCACCCCTAGAAGTCCAGACAACTGGATTTCTCTTGTCAATCCTGCTGATGGAACATTATTAGACAAAATAGGATTGTTGTGGAGATCAAAGGGATGGTAAAGGGTCGGAGGATATTGAGGAGTGATTATAACAAAAACAAATGCCTACTTACTGTGATGCACTCTTGGGGGGTCAGAGCAGATTCAAGCCAATTTGAAGAGGAGGAGGACGGCCAGGAGTCCTCCCTCCTCAGCCCGAGCTTGTGGTGCTGAAAGGACAGCGCCTTGCCTGTGTCTGGATTGGGAGTTTCTGAGAGCGAGGCGCGAGCGAGGGGAAGAGCTCCTGGCAGCTGCCTGCCTGCTCCTTCGCTCGCGCCCCCTCCCATCGGGGAACGGGCTCCCACACCATCTGTCATCTGGCACCACCTGCTGTTTCTCATGCATGGCCACAACCAGGGCATGGGACAAAATGGTTTCAAGAAAGTGGGAGGGATTCTGGCCATAATAATAATAATAATAATAATAATAATAATAATAATAAATAACCATATAATAAGCAATCCTTGAGTCTTTAGAAAAACAGAAGAAAGAGACATATTCATTAGGAGAAGGAATCACTTTTTAAAATCTTCCAGAGCAATATTATGAAACCCAAAATGGTTCAGGACCTGTGCTGTGCTCTGACCTGTTGTAAGGAGTGAAGGGAAACCTATATTTATTATTTCCCACGCAGTGGGCACTTTTCCAGGCTCTTTCAGACTATTTCCCTCATTTGCAAAATGTGATGGGATTAGTGTGAGGTGGGAATGTGATCACAACAGGAAAGCAGCTCAGAGCAGGGCACACTGTTCTCACAATGCCGCTGGAATCACACAGGTCAGGTAGAGCACCAGGAGCTGGACCTTGAGCCCTGATCCATGGCCACTGATGTTTGCATGCAGTCCACAACTTTGTATAGCTTCCAAGTTGGTGTCTGGAATCAGGGAAGGTGAAGTCCTAGTATCAGCTCTATGAAGTTCTGACTGTGGAGGTCTTGGACATTTTGCATTCCCTCCCCAAGTCTCCATTTCTTTATCTATGATGTGGGAATAATAATACCTCCCTTGCAGGGTGGTTGTGAATAAGATGAGACTGTGCTCAAGGAAACCTCTTTTTTTTTTTTTAAAGATTTTATTTATTTATTTATTTGAGAGAGAGAGAGAGAAACAGCATGAGAGGCAGAGGGTCAGAGGGAGAAGCAGACTCCCTGCTGAGCAGGGAGCCCGATGCGGGACTCGATCCAGGGACTCCCGGGACCATGACCTGAGCCGAAGGCAGTCGCTTAACCAACTGAGCCACCCAGGCGCCCTCAAGGAAACCTCTTTTAGCTCAGGGACAAGGTTCTGAGTGGCTGAATTATTTCATCTCTGGGGATTGCTCTTACACTCTTAGAATCCTCTGAGATTAAGACTATTGCCACAGGTTTCTCCTCGCTGTGGTTCAAATCACTGTTGGTCACTTATCCCCAGCTGCAGTGCTGTTTATGATGCACATCATGAGGTCGAGTGGTCTTGGCATTAGTAATAGCATCCCCTTTCACTTTCAAAAATATCCTGGTTCCCATGATAAATTGTTTGGTCACCTTAATTAGTGCTCACATGGTGAGCATACACTCTACCACCTAAAAGACCAGGAGAAAACAGGCATATTATCTGTATTGTTCAGTAATGAAATGGACATGTGTGTGCATGTGTGCGTGTGTGTGTGTAAAGAGAGATGTTTCTGAGACAGTAAAGTCTATAACATATCAGAGCTGCCCAGGGTACTATTAATAGACGTATGCATATATATGAGAGGAAGTTACTTTAATATTAGTTTCTCACTCTCTCCTTTCCAAAGACCAGGATGATCTTCATGTGCAAGCATCATCTAAGGACAACACAATGTAGACACCCACATGGACATGGAGTCACTTGTGAACACTTGTGTCTGATCCAATTATTGTTGTCTCCAAAGGAAAAAAAAAGTCCCTTTGACACAGCTTATGATTGATTCACAAGCAGAAGTCACACCTTTAATAACTCCAAGCCAGAGGTCCTGATAGTTTAGTAAAACGTCCAAGAGAAGCGCCTGTCTCGTGGCAATGGGAAATCCAGGCTTCCTGGTGTGTGGAATCAAGAGAGAGGCTGCAAGAAGAAACAGGGGGCTGGAGTGATGTGGAAAAGCCCCTTATGGGAAAACGATATTGAGAGGAGCTTAATATAATAGACTATTATTCTTTTGTTGAGTTCTGGGAAATATGTTTCACAGTTGAAAACAAAACTAGAGCATTTTTATGAGGTTTTCCATGTGTGTAGATGTAATATATAGGATAACTGCAACATGAAGAGGAGAGGATAAATGGGCCACTACAGCGGTAATGTTTCTATATTCTAAGTGGTAAAGTATATTCCCACTAAACAGTGAAAAGTTAGCTATGTCTATTTTAATCCCCAGAATAACCAAAAATATACAGAGAAAAGATCAAAACTACAATAAAGAAATATAAATGGAATACTAAAAAAAAAAATCAAATAACTCAAAAAGGCAGGAAAGAAAAAACAGGAACAACAACAAAAACAAAGGAAACAAGCAGAAAACAAATAATGAAATCGTAGACTTAAATCCAAACTTAGCATTATCATCCAGAGTTCATAGTTTACATTAGAGCCCATTCTTGGTGTTGTACATTCTGTGGATTTGGACAAATGTGTAATGACATGTATCCATCATCTGGTTATCATACAGAATAGTCTCATTGCCCTAAAAATCCTCTGTGCTCCATCTATTTATCCCTCCCTCTCCCCCAATTCTTCGCAACTACTGATCTTTTAACTGTCTCCATAGTTTGCCTTTCCAGAATGTCACGTAGTTGGAATCATATAGTAAGTTGCCTTTTCAGATTGGTTCTTTCACATAGTAAAAGGCATTTATGTGTCCTCCATGTCTTTTCATGGCCTGCTAGATCATTTTTTTTTAGCACTGAGTAAGATTCCATTGTCTGGGTAAAACACAGTTTATCCACTTACCTACTAAAGGACATTGTGGTCGCCTCCACATTTTGACAATTATGAATGTGGCTACTATAAACATTTGTGTGCAGGTTTTTGTGTGGACATAAGTTTTTTACTTCTTTAGGTAAAAACAAAGGAGTGCAATTCCTGGATCATATGATAAGAGTATGTTTAGTTTTTTAGGAAACTGCCAAACTATATTCCAAAGTGTCTGTACCATTGTGCATTCCCAGGAGAGATGAGAGTTCTTATTACTCCATATCCTTGCCAACATTTGGTGATTTCAAGACTCTTGAATTTGGCCATTTAATAAGTATGGAGTAGCACTACATTATTGTTTAATTTATATCTCCATGATGACATATGATGTGGAATATCTCATATGCTTATTTGCCATCTATATATCTCTTAGGTAAGTGTCTATTAAGGTCTTTGGCTCGTTTTTTAATTAGGTTGTTTTCTTATTGTTGAGCTTTAAGAATTCTTGTGTATTTTGGATAAGAGTCCCTTATCAAACATGTGTTTTGCAAATATTTTCTCCCAGTCTGTGGCTAATCTTTTCATCCTCTTGACAGTACCTTTTGCTGCAGAGCAGAATTTTTTAATGTTGATTAAGTCCAGCTTATCAATTATTTCTTCCATGGTTCATGCCTTTGGTGTTGTATCTAAAACACCACCACCAAAACCAAGGTCATCTAGATTTTCTCCTATGTTATCTTCCAGGGATTTTATAGTTTTACATTTTACATTTAGGTCCATGATCCATGTTATCTTTGTGAAGTGTGTAAAGTCTGCACCTAGATTAATTATTTTGCATGTGAACATCCAGTTGTTCCAGCACCATTTGTTGAAAAGGCCGTCTTTTGTCCATTGTAATGCCTTTGCTCTTTATCCAAGATTGGTTGACTGCATATTTTTAGCCTTATTTCTGGGCTCTCTATTTTGTTCTATCTGTCTATTTGTCCATTCTTTCTCCAATAACACACTATCTTGATTATTAAAGATTTATAGTAAGTCTTAAAGTCAGATAGTGTCAATCTTCCAACTTTGTCCTTCTTTTTCAATACCCTTGGCTATTCTGGATCTTTTGCCTCTCCATACAAACTTAAGCGTTAGTTTGTTGATATCCATAAAATAACTTGCTAGGATTTTTATTGAGATTGCATTGGTCCTATAGATCAATAGAAAATCTGGCATCTTGGGAAAAACTGACACATTTATAATATTGAATCTTCCTAT